CACCAATCAATCGGTCGGGCTATAGGAAGCTATGATATCCGTTTTGGGAAATATTATTGAGACATTCTTCGCCTCTATAACGACGAGAGAAAAATGAATAATTCGCTGGTCATTTTCAAATCGTCGTCGACGACAGACATTTTCAAACTTTATTGTCTTTCATTAATTCAGTTCATTTTGATGGCTTTCAAATATTATATAGGTCCCTTTTCACTCTGCTGACGTCCTGAACTCGTTGGGCTCTTTTTGGTGAAATGAATTATTTAACAGAGAAAAATGTCTTCCATAAAAGAAAAAGTGATATTATATATTGTATTTTATATTAGCAAAATTATGCAAATTGTAGCTCTTGCAATTAAATTTAAGTTATTAAGAAACAGACGTCACAAAAGCTTTGCATAATTTACAAAATAATTATTTAAAAATATAGTTTTATTTTGATAAGGATTTATTTAAAATAATCTAGTTAATAAATTTTTTGTTTAATTTTTTTTTACTAATATTTATTAATTGTTTTTCTCATTATTATTAATTTGTCGTGTATAACTTTTTAATGATAAAAATTGCTGAATTTAAACAAAGAAATTAATAATATTTTACATTTGAAATAAATATATATAATATTGAGTTGATTATAACAAAATTGTGGAAATATTATTACAAAAGCTTGGAGACTTGTAATAATTATATGAAGATCAAAGATTAAATAAACAAATTAAGTTCGACCTAAAACATCGTGCAAAATAAATTAATTTAAATTTTTCTGCATCAAAATTTGTCTATCATTAAAAAATTTAAAACTATATTTCAATAATTTAAATCAATTTTCAATTTTAAAATAACTTTCAATTGTGTTTTATTTGGGCCATTTTCGCGAAAATTCATGCAATATTTCAAAGACAAAAAGTACACACGTGGAGTGTTCACTTATGTGGAGACCGACGTTTAATTATGCAAACTGCGGCTGGTTAGTACTGCAGTACTGTATGTGTGTACGTGAAAGGGGAAAATAACCCAAGCGTGACCCTTCAGATGACTATGACATAATACCTGCTGAACAAAAGCGCTCTAAATGCACGCTTTTATTCACAGAGACCTGGCACCACATTATATACCACTGCGCGTGCATGTTCTTACACTTTTATAATGGCACATTTATATTTCTTATATATTATTATTATACATATAAATCGTTAATTATGGTTTCATTATTCTCCGGTGCCGCTTATAGGCGAGAGATTTGCCGAGATTATTATAAATTCAACTTCCATATAACTCTAACGTATTAATTAATTATACAATTTTAATGTGCGCCAAGTAATAGAGGACGCATATAAATATGAACGCATGAATTACTTTTACTTTTCTTAGATAATTATTTTTAACAACCGGTTCTTTTTTAATATCTTCGTCAAGGTTCCAATAAAGAAAAGTATTTCTTGTTTAGGAAGTGCCTTTAACGTGTGTCACTGACGTAAGCAATCGGAATTTGTAAATATTCTGAATTGTTTATTATTATTCGAGTATAAGGGTGAAGAGATAAGAAGTATTCCTTTCAATGGATTTTTTTTATGTAATTTCATTCAATGCCTTTTCCAATTCTCATGCACGATCCTTTGCGAGCATTTTATTGATTGCTGAATCGAGCATAAAAGTTTGTCGGAAAGTTGGTCATGGACTTTTGAAGTCATGTCGGTTGGCAGAGATCAAATGCATTTATACAAAGGCACAGGAGGATTGAGAACAACTTAAGCAGCAAGCACATAACACACACGTTACATGAAGCTTTAGAGATATTTCTCTTTAATAGTGTATATGTGACTGATGAAAGGAATTCAAAAGAGGTGAGCACTTTATCATTAACGCTCTTGCATGCGTGAAAAACACCGCGCTATTTTATTTTCATTTTCTTCACGTGCGTATCCTTGAAATTTTTTGAAATGCTAAGGATAAAAAGCTTCTCTCTCCTTGCGAGTATAAAAGTGATGAATATAAATATATTATATGGCTTTCCAATCATCTCACAAAAAATGGATTGGCAAAGATCTCACAGCAGCACTTGAAATTTAAAGCCGAGTTTGCAAACTGCATAAAAGATGAACTTGGTATGCATACCAAAATAACCTCAGGATATCAATTTGATCATTTAATGTGATTTAATGCTCAGCAGGATGTCACTTTATCAGAGTTTACTAATTAATGTTTTTTAAGGTACAAGATCTCATGCATAATATTAAATCTTACCAATCACTAAAAATGACTCCATTGATCTTTTTTCTATTACTACCAACTTCATATCAAAATTTGATATAAATGTTTTAAACAAATATTATATTATTAAACTATCTCAACAATAATTTTTTTATCTTTTATTTTTTCATATATTTTGTCTATAAAAAATTCATTTTTAATTTAAAATGTGTTTCTATTATGTTATTTGTTAATAAAACATAATTAAATAATAACAAATTAATTGCAAAATCAATTTATAAAAATTCAAAATTAAAAAATGTATAATTTTAACATTCAGCAACGTCAGTTAAAGAATTATTTAAAGTTAATAAATTAATTTTTTCTGCTTTTGTCTGGTTGCTATACGAATTGATTTAAACAATTCTTTAAATAAAAATTTATTTGGAACTTATATCGGTAATCAAGCTACTCTTATATATAAGCAACCATGAGCAATAATTCATTGCTCACGGAGAAATTATGAGTGTATAGTACTTATCGATAGTGTGTGAAAGAAAGAGAGCGACGTGCATATCAATTGAATCGAAGAGCGGCGCAATGCAATAAAAATATAAGAAGCCACACTCGGCGGTAATCAGCGGTGCGCAAAGAAAGAGAGAAAGAAAAGTTATATCATCGCGGCGAGAGAGTCGCGGCGGCGGCGGCGGAGAGTGTTATATAAACATGACAACACCGCGTCTCTCTCTTTTCTGTCTCTCTCTGGTACTGTGCAATTTAGCAGCCAAGTGAAAGAGAAAAGGTGAATTATTAAGTAATAACACACAGCGCACAGCATTTAATGAAGCGCGGCCGGTTGGCAGCGTGCGCGGCACCGAGCGAGGTGGACACGCGGCGGGTCAATTACGCCAAAGTACATTCATGTAACATTGCCGAGCTTTAATTTTATTGCACGTGACGTAAGATTATAATCGCGTGCAATATCGGCAGGCGCAACAACAAGAGCACTCTGTATCAAAACTCAATTGTGATGGGAGAGCGAGAATTTTTATTTTTCAAATTAGCATTGCATTGTTTTAAATTTTTAATTATTAACGTTTTTGTATTTAAAATTAACATGCGAAAGCCGTTTTCAAATGGAAAGAATTCGAACGATCCGAGAATATCAATTGCATCGTCAATTTTTTATTGAAATTTTATTTGTAAAATTAAATATTGCAATTTATTATGGATGGGAATTTTAAAAAATAACTAAATTTCGCAATACATTTAAGAAACTAACAAATAAAATTCCTTGAAAATTGTGTTTTTATTGTATTTTACTTGACATTTTATTATGTGTGATGTGTTTCAGTTTTTAAAGACATTGAAAACGAGAAGCAAAATATTGCAATTGTTTCAACCATTTATTATTATTAAAAATCCTCATTCTACTCTCAAGCTTCAAAATTAATAATCATATTTATAGAGAAATAATTAAAATGTTGTCGTTTTTAACGATATAAATTAAAATTTGATTTTAGTTCACAAGCAAAAAGAAAAAAAAAAAAATTAAAGTTTTATAAATTGCGGATCTTCCTTATCAAATTTGCTTGGCCTAAACCGACTTGAAAAAAGTTATACAGAGACCATCGGAAAATTTGTAGGCGTGATATGAGTGCTTTTTCTCCTTCTTTTATGGTTCCAGGATATGTTCAAGTTTTCGAAAAAAGTATAATTTTACGACGCAGTAAAGAGTGCCTGCTTTAATGCCCTTTCCGAACCCGCGCAATAAACCCCCGTAAAAGTTCTCCCCAAAGCGCAGCTTTTTGTGGCAAAACAACGTGATTCCCACAAGGCGCGCGGAGAAAATATTATTATAATGCACACAATCGGTTCGCCGTATAGATTAAATTCAAACACATTGTGCAATCGGAGAAAAAGCACATATAATCTCTCTCTTAAGATAAGAGACTACTTTGTATGCAGCGGACGTCAGCAATGCGCAGACAAAGGCTAAAATTCAAATTTGATTGTCGCGCTAAGGCTGGCTCGAATTGGAGGTGAAAGTTGCACCGAACGCCCAAAAAATATACAAAACACTTGTGTGTATAACAGGGGATGATGAAAAAAAATTCGTCCCTTCGGATTTATGAGAGAGGCAACCCTCGGGTTCGACCGGTTGGCCCCAAATTGATATACTTTTACAAGCGGCAGGTAGAAGAGAAGAGGAAAGGGATGAAAAGGGACCGGGATTTTTTCAGTTTGAAAAATGGTTATTTTATTGACGAATTGCTATATACATATAAAAATGCACAAAAAGGTAGAAAGGTATAGAAAAAGACAAGCAGAAATGTATATAATCTAAAAAAAAAGGGAAAAAACGACGAGAGAGGAAGGTCGGCGCTGCAGAAAGAGAGAAAGAAAGAGAAAGAAAAGGATAAAGCGCAGACTTATATATTATTTTATATAAAAGAAGAAGAAGAATGTATAGGGTCTGTGAATGCTACTCCCAGGAAAAAAAGAGTAAAATACATATAAAAAGAGAGGTATAGTAGGGTGGAGGGGAAGGATAAAAAATAAAGTAGGAAAAAGTTATACGCATTGATATAGGCGGAGACCTTGGAAAATTGTGCTGGTTGCATATAGGCGACGGCGGCGCTGCTGGTTCATGCGTATACTTTCATCGGGTGTGTTTTTTATTATAATTCGGCGCGGACCTTCATTGTGCATAGTCGTATTGCGAAGCAAAGGTCTGCCTGCAGAGTTGCCATTACCCAACGAAAGCGAAAGGGGAAGTTGCTTTGCTTTTGTGAGCAGCGAGCAGCGCCGGAGAGAGAGAGAGAGAGAGAGAGAGAGAGAGAGAGACCGCCTCTGCCTCCTCGCTCACTCTCCTTCAAATAACTACTAACAGGCAACAACGAAGGCTGGGCCCACACTTCACTTTTCTTCTCTCTTTCCTATCTCCTCTCTTTCCTCGTGCGTTATGAGTGAGCAGTGCCACGAGCAGCAGCAGCCGAGCCGCACCTGACACACTCCTGCTCCTGCTGCTATGAATTCGCACGAGTGACAACAACGATTCGTTTTTTTTTATTTATTTATTTCGGAGTTCCTTTGGAAAAGTGCAAGAAGTGTTGATCGGCGCGTCGCATGAAGAAATTGTGTGCGCGAATTCGCAGTGAAAGCAGTGCAGTTTTTCTCTCCGCCGAAGCGCCGATTCTGTTCAGCCGACAGCATTATCTATTTGGATTACTTTGAAACGCACAACAGTTCCACACACGCCATGGATTATCGCGCTTTCCGGCCGCTCTGCTAACAGGTGAGTCTCTTTCGCAATGTGCCTGGTTTCCACCCCTCGCAACCCCCCGAGCTCAAATTATACATAATAAAACCAGGAAACGCAGAACTTGTTACCTCCCAACTAAATTGGTGGTTTAAAAACAAAATAATTTTGTTTGCCAATTAAAAGTTTTATGCATAAACGAATTAATTAAATTAGTAATGAGTTGGATGAAAATCTGTTTAAATTTTAATTTATTTTGTTACTAACATAGTTTTTTAAAAATATTTAAATGTAAATATTTTATTTAATAAAATAATTATATATTAATATTATTAAATTCTTTTATATGTTTAAAAGAGCATTATTTTTTTAATAATATTTTATAATACAAATTAATACTTTTGTTATTTTTTTAGGAGACCGTTTCTGGTAAAGGAATTAAAGCATTTTTTTCTTAATTAAAATATACATATTAAAACTCACGCAAACGGTCCTGTTTTTTAAATTGAAGCATAAGAAATTAATTTTTTATATTAAAAAAACAAAGGTTTGAAAATTGTTTTAAAGTAAATTTATAAATATTATGGAATTAGATTTGATTTTTTCTACTGAAAAGTGAGAATGATATGAAAGAATTTCGTAATTGGAAGTCTAATGAATCCCTTAATATTTGTGGTCATGTTAGTTCTAAATAATTTGATTGAAAAAATTTTGTCGTAAAAGAACTGATTCAATTTCAGTGTTATTTTTTTTAGACATGATGACGAGTATTTCAGAATTGTTTTGAAATTTGACTCGCCTCTTGTGAATGCTCTTCAATTTCCTTTCAAATTTTAAATAAAACAACGCAGATTTTTATTCTGCCTCGCCAGCATTTTCTGGCATTACACTTGAGTGACGAATTCGCTCTCTCGCAAACACAAGTGCACATCACTCTTTTCTCGCCAAGCATATACACGCGATATAGAAAGGGAAATTCAAGAAGCAACTTCCGCTGCGAGAAAGATGAACAAATATCTATGGGGTTCGGAAGAGTGCGGGTCGCTCGCTCTTGTATATACGTTGAGGAAGAAAGAAGCGTGATGAGAGTGTTTTCTTCTTTCGAAAAATATATATATTTTTTTTCGCTGGGCGTCGGACGCGTTTCCATAGCAACTGAAAAAGGCGGCTAACTATCTTTCTCTCCGCGCACACAATACGCATGAATATTTGGCTCCTCTCACACGTGCATTGCAGCTGTTGCACATTTTCGTACACGCCGGCGCTCATTATCATTTTCGACTTCCTTTCGCTTTCTTTCTTTCTTTGGCCTTTTGACCGGCGAGTTACGCCATAGTTCAGGCTGGTCACTGGCGTGACACACAAACCTACACTGTGGGCACATGATTATCTCATGAAAGCTCCAGCCCAGCCGAGTCCCCCTGATGCTGTAGCCGCGGAGAAAGAAATGCACAAAAGTGCCATTATACACTTTTTTCGCTTCCTCCCCACTGTCTCCCTTTTAGCTCGGTGAAAAAGTTTTGCTCCCGCAAAGCGAGTGACTTCTTCTTCTGCTTGCCGACGAGAAGTCTTTTTTTTTCCAGAGAGAGCAGGAAGAAAGAGAGAAAAAGAAGCAGGAATGCGTTCCAGCTTCCATAGTTGGCTTTTCTCTCTTTGTCAACTTTTTCGTGGCAGCTTTTCGCCTTTTTTGTGTTATTAACAAGATAGAATTGCTGCCGCGTGAGAGCATCGCATTTTACGCCACAGAGGAAGTAGTGCCTCAGATACGATCAAATTTTCAGTAAATTAGGTTCAAGAAAATATTTATTGAGTTCGAATTTAGAGCAACTATGCCCCATACAAGAACTCATCCAAATAAATGACAGAAATAAAAATTTTAAAACAAGAGAGAAAAACTAGCATTGCTCAAAATATTGCTATTTTCAGTACCGATTTAAAAAAATTAACATAAAAGTCGATGGTGCGCCGCGCCAGTCTAGAGAGCTGGAGACTGCAGACTTTTTTATGTTTAAAGTTAATTAAATAACACTTTAAACGCTATTTTATTATATTTATTTACCCTACTCAAATCTTATTATTTTAAATAATTACAATAGTTATTATCTTTTAATTTTTTACATTCATTTTTACGTGTTTTGTTTTTTAACGAATATAAATTAATTCATTCAAATTATATTCTTACAACGAACCATTTATAAAACATTTTATTAATTCATCGATCTGCTAACCTTGTCTAATTATGATTGCATGTAAAACATAATTTTCTTTTTGTTTCGTCTATTGGTTTATAAAATGATGATAACTAAAAAACAGCCCATTAAATGTACTGGACCCTTGTAAATTGAAAACTTGCAGTTAAAATTCTGCGGTGGATTACAATTTGGTATGATCTACTGCACTATTAGCTTTAAAATTGGCTATATAAATTTACAAACAGAATGAGATTTTTAGAAAATTTATTACAAGTGCATGTAGCATGTTTGTAAATCAAATCATTAAATATTTTTTATTTTTGTGTTTAAATTAACTGTAAGTCAGCATAAACGAAAATACCAACCTTTATGTTTACAAAATCAAATTTATATCATAGTTCAAATTCAAATTAGGAATATTTTGAAGTATTTTGGAACTAATATGCATGACAGTTCATAAAACATTAAATTAGTTTCTACTGAGCAAATTTTAGATGCAAGTTATAAGGGTAAAACTGTTCAATTAAGGGAACAATTGTACAAATAATACATAATAATTGGTATCTTAATTAAAAAAACACATAAAAACCAAATTTTCAGATATTTTTAAATTATTGCGGTTTTAAATTTGTGCGATCAAAGGGAAAAAGAAACCTCAATAACAAACGTATGATTTGGTTAGGAAAAAGGTAAAATTGAATATCAAATTACCATTCCAGTTTGCGGTTATACAAAATTAACTGCACATTTTCTCCTTATCTTCTGATAAAATAACCATATATGAAATTTATTAAAATTAGAAATATATAAATTGAAATGAAAATATCAGCAGGACGTTTTCCTTGTTAAACCAAAATGAAATAAGAGCAAAAGGTTTTTAAAGAGCAATCTTGGTATAAGTATTTTTTGCAAGTATAATTTGTTTATATTTATAATAAAGGATAACATTAAAAAAATGGTCATAATTTAATATAATATTGACTTGTCAGCTTCTCCAAAAGGGCAAATGGTTGCACGTGTATATAACTGCTTTTCAATCAGCCGGGAAACAATTTGCCAAAATCAGTGCTACTGCTTTCGAGCAGGAAAGTTTTTTGCGCGACGAAAACCGGCTTTATCAAATTAATCCGGTTTCGGTATAATCGCTATGCAGCTTCGAATCTCGGAGCTAAGGGCGAGAGAGCAGTGAAAGGAAAAGAAAAGAAAAAGGGAACAAGCGTCCATATATTTATTATAATAGAAAGAAAGAGAGGAAGAAAAAGGGAGCGAGCGAAAAAGGCATGCAGATTAAAAGAGATGGCGACGGCGGTGGAGAGTTTGAAAGACCCGGAAACGATAATGGGCGAGAAATGAGATGATGGAGGAAAACACTTGACTGCTTTTCTTCGCTGCTGACGACGACGAGAAAGAATTGCCTAATATATTTTGTAATAATTATTTCTCAAGGTTAGCAGCTTACATCAATGTTCCTCCATCAAGGCTATACTTTATAGGAGGCACTTCGCTCGCCATATACCTTGTCATATACCAGCAGAATAAATGGTGAGTGTGTTGTGTGTGCCAACTCTCGCTCTTTATTATTTGAATCATAAAATGCTGAAGGTATAAACGCTGCATTCATTATGCAACGCGAAAACATCAGCAGGAGGAAGAGAGTAGAGGGCATTTGAAGTAAAAAAAAGCGTAAGGGAAGTGGTATATGTTGCAAAGGACATACTCACGACTTTTGCAATTAATACTTCTCACTTTTCAGCATCTGCATCCGTTTTCAGCAGAAAAAAAAATACAAAACGTCGTGCGCTTCGTGAGAGATTTATAATTGCCTCCTCTTTCGCTCGCATAATAATTATAATTATTTTTATTGCACATTCTATACGCTTCTCGTCTTATTTTTCTTTTCCTGCTTTTGTTGGTTTTCTTTCTCGCGTGTGCCACTGGCGCCAACTCATTACGCTCGCAGGTGCGCTCGGCAGCCTTGGAATTTTCGCAACTTAATAATTATGGCGTTTTGATTGATTTGTAAGCTTATAATTGACTTGTACTCTTACGTACATACGCCTCATTTCTTGCTAAATGATTTTGTGTGAGTTTGCCACGTTGATTATTAACCTCGCAAAATATGACAGCAGTTTTTATTTTATTTTGCTGGACAGTCATTTTCATTTAAAATTTTGTATTTTCAGAACAAACTTTTTTTGTAAATTTTGTTTGATGTATGTTTTGTAATTGATGGAGAATAAATAAATAAATAATAAATAAATAAATAAAAAGTTGAAAATAGATCATTGTATAAATTCAAGCTGAGATAATAAAAATGTTACATTGATTGTTTGCGTAAAATAACTGAAAGTAAGGTTTTTAATTTAATTTAAAATAATTCTGACGCGAATAATCACTTAAGTATCATAGCTTCTCATGGGAGATTATAACTATAATATCTTGTTAAAATTAAACGGCATAATTCTCAAGGCATAAGTTAATAATAAATTTTTTTAAGTTGAAAAGATAAAGACGCAAACACTGTATATTAATTAAAAAAACTGTTTGAATAAACATTAAGTTTTAATTTAAAAAAGATTTTTTTTCACATTTATTTTTAATTTTAATCCTTTTAGTCAATTAAAACCATTAAATTTGAATAAAAAAGAATGTATGTTTGTTACATATTAATAAATGTATTATTTTCTAACACGCCTAATTATAGTTATAACTTTTCTCAATACCTTGGACTAATTTTTCAGCCCACCTTTATTTAAAATTGTTAAATTTTACAGTTAAAAAAAAATCATTTCATTATACAAATTGAATTGAACACTATGGACACAATAATAATTCTGGAAAACA